TTGATCCAATTAATATTCAGCATCAGTATGGGGAGGACAGTGTTGCTGGCAGTGATGAATGGAAAAAAACAGGAGGAGGCAGAAACATTGTAATGGGCACGAGCTGGAATTTGGCTGGAATGCGAATCTGTAAGGAGGCCTAGGAAGCGTGTGGTGTCTGCAAACACAGACCCGGCCAAAGTCCAGTGACATGGAGCACCAGCCTCTATACCTAGCTTTACTTGGGTTTTGACCTGGGGAGGGGGCGGGGGTTGTTTTTAAGGCTATTACAGCAACCTCTCCCCACCCAGCCGTGGCTGGTGCAGACACTGTCACAGTGGAGGTTGTATCTGTCTGATCTCCTTCTCAACCGCCCACAGAATCCATGTGGCTTCCCATAGGATTTTTACAGTAACAGCTAAGCACTGCTGAGGCAACCCCCACTAGGAACCCATCCTGGCCTGCCACAAGCAACATCCTAGCTATGGATCATGTGGTCTTCCACCTCGAGCAACCAGCAATTAAAGTGGCAGTGCGTTCCAGACTTCTGTAGGCAGTAAAACAGAACAAACCAAGGCCATAGAGGGATCCCTCAGTAAATACATGGTGCACGGAGGGTGTGGGGAGGGAAAGAATAGGTCTTCTCCCAGGAGCTGGTGGCTGATCAGCAAGAAGAACAATTGCTACTGCTGCTCTGGAGCATCTGAAATGCTTTGTCATTCAACTTAAAGACAGTTGGAATTTTTGGCACTGAGCCTACTGGAGAAGATGAGGTTAGTCTCACTCTGACAGACTCCATCCCTGGGCCACTCGCTGTGTTATCCATCTGCTTAGCTGCCCTGACTTGCTCAGCCCCATGCACGCTGGCAGCAGGAGCAGCTCGAGGAGAGCTGCCGGCATCTGGCGCCCTGGGCGGAATGCGCGATTGGCGCCCCCGCTTCCATAGCCCTCAATGGTGTGATGTCATCATTGGGCGCCGCGTAAAATGCAACTGCTGAGGTTGCTTACATCCACAGGCCGCCCCTGGCTGGCAGCAATTGACAGAATAAACGCTGGGGTGGAGGCTGATAGTCTGGCTTTAAAAATGACAGGTGTAGTGGGGCTGGAAATCTTGAAACCACACACAAATCCTTCTCACACAAAACACAGGACTGTGTAGCACTTTACAGACTAACAAGATGGTTTAATAGGTGATGAGCTTTCGTGGGCCAGACCCACTTCCTCAGATCAAATAGTGGAAGAAAATAGTCACAGCCATATATACCAAAGGAGACAATTAAAAAAATGAACACCTATGAAAAGGACAAATCACATTTCAGAAGAGAAGGAGGATGGAGGGGGGAGGGAAGGGAGGGAGGTAAATGTCTGTGAGCTAATGGTATTAGAGGTGATAATTGGGGAAGCTATCTTTGTAATGGGTAAGATAATTAGCATCTTTATTCCTTCTATGTGTCTTTTAATTCAAAGCTGGTTTTCTGGGTTGGAACAAAGGGCGAGTACCCGGCTTCAACAGGCCTTGTTACACAGAAAGCTGATGGTGCTTTTGCTTTCCTCAATTTTACTGCCTTTCTGAGGTGTGTGATTACTAAAATAAACACTCTCTAACATCCCAGATGGAAAAGCAATGCAGGAGTGCCTTTGTCAGGGCGTTCCTGGAGAAAGATGGCAATCTTGCTCCTTCATGTATTGCTGGTGTCACTTTCAGACCCTGGGGGTAGAGTGTTTCCAAACCAAAGCAGAGCCTCTCTTGAAGGGATTCTTCATTCCTATTATTAAAACAGACAAGGGAAGGTACAAAAATGAAATGATCAGAGTTGAGAACAGCTCCTGGATTTTAAGCCCCCTTGCTGTATATGCCTGATGAATGGATCACTGCCCAAGAATCCATCCAATAAGCAAGTCTGGAGCTAAGGGCTGTACTGTGTACTTTATTGCCAGGGCCAGCCCACAACATTTTGGCACCTGAGGCAGGGAGCTCAAATGACGCCCCCAGGCCCCCTTGCTTGGGCCAAAACTTTGAAAGGTCTCAATTCTGCCTCCTTCCTGTTCTACTCCTCTCATGGAACTGCTCTGCTACCTACCCCAATAAAGGAGAACTAACAACTTAAAATGCCTTGTTCAAAAAGTGTGAACTAGTGGTGTCCCTCCCCACCCCCAGTCTGACACCTGAGGCTGCTGCTTCGGGTGTTGCCTCATGGTAAGGCCAGCACTGTTTATTGCAGCAGTGAAGTGTAGGAAGTATTGTGTATAGTGAGCTGGAGGAGGGACAGCAGGACTCCTGCAGTTTTCTTAATCTGCACCCAGCTCTGCTGATGATTTGCTGTGCGACCTCAGGCAATGTACTGACTACTCTGTGCCTCAGTTCCCCTTTCTATAACACAGGGACATTGTGCCTCAAAAGCATCACAGAAGATTTGGGATGCCTTCTTCATTCAATGTCGGCAAAGTGGCATGAGACTGCCAGTGCGAAGGGAACCAGTGATCTGCTACACTGAGTGCCTGAGGAGGTCAAGCTATAGGCTCCCCATTGCCAAGGCACCAAATGTATTTCCACGCCACCCCTGCCCTCAGCTTCACGCCCCCTTGCTAGCTGCTGCCAGAAAGGGGAAGCACAGAGCTGCCCCTTTGGCAGGGAACTTCTCCCAGGGGTTCGGAGGAATGGCTCCACTAGTCCCAGAGGGGCTGGGTGTCCTACAGCAGAAACTGACCAGGAAGGCCAGTCTCTGCTCTCCCCCCACATGTTCTGTCTGGCTCATCCGCAGCAGGGGATGGAGGCCGTGCTGGGGGGAGTCCTGAGTCAGCCTCGTTAGGGGCCTTGCTGTGACTTGAGCTGCCTCTAAGTGATTTGGGGCAGGGGCAGACAGTCCCAGACATGGGTGTCTGCTCTTTCC